CAACCAACATATGGGTTTTATTGTTGTCACTTGTACACTTAGTTTTAAACCATTTGCAAAATATTAGAATAAATTATATATATATATCAGTAAGACTGTTTTAATTCTAAAGCAATAACAACAGGAGTGTGGGTATTACTACAAAGTAAAGATTGTAAGAAGGAAGAATATAAAATTCTTATGTGGTACTGGTACTAGTAGTATTACGTACAAATCACACAAGTTTATCATTCTAAATACTGAATCATTTTATTATTATTATTATTATGAACTAAATATAAAATTACGCTAAATTATTTAACTTAAAACTACAGATTTAAATTCAAAAGAATATAAAAAATCACAAACTCTTTCAGTTCAAAGTCCTAAGCCTAATTCATGTAAAGACCTTGCACTCGCCACTCGATAGCTCTTAACCCTAACAATCGTGGATCAACTTCTTTCCTACAAAATATATCTATTTTCAGTTAATTTTTCAATATAAATACATATACGATGCAGCATGACTTAAGCTACTATATGAAAATAATAAAAGTCACATACATCCCATGCAGTTTTTTCCAGAAGCAAGTTTTCTAATGCTTACAGAAAAGCACTATTGGTTAGTACTAAATACCACCTCTACATAAAATGACAGTTACTATAATAAGCACCACCCACAATCATATTGTAAAATCCAGTGAACAACGTTTCATCACGTGCTTTCCTTATCATCCTATGATTTGTCAACTATGAGATACAGCGATTGGAATAACATGGTATTGAAATTGACACCTTTGACTAGGATTAGCTAAAAGTTTTACAACTGAGGTTTAACACGCCCAGACTCTGTTTTATAAAGAAAACAGACTAGAAAAAGGTCTAGGTACCAATCATAGATGGCAGGACCAGTGCTGAAGTGGAAGGAAATATTTTTTTAAATCCTTGAAAAAAATTTTTCTTCTTAGAGGGCACTTATTTACTGTCTAAAACGTATTTTAGGACTTTTTTCATTAAATTCCTCTTTAAACTTCAATAAATAATACAATTTTGTACAAATAATTGAATGTTATGTTACTATTTACAAAAATAAAATCTGAAATCCAATAAAAGATAAGTTCTCTATAATTTTTTCTATTCACAAATGTGATTTTGCCCTCATGATAAGATCAAAATGGGCACAGCAGATAAAGGGTTAATAAAATACATAACACTATTCTTAACAAATACAAAGTGTTCATTTATCAGGCTGGCAGTTGCACTGCCAATGTAGGTATGGCTTGGATTGTTCATCGAAATGGTATTTTAAATATATTCTCAATAGATCATCAGAACTTTACAATATTACACAATGTTTCCTTCTATAACAATATCTATGTAATGACTGAGTCACAAGTTCTTGGAATGTCTGTAAATATCATAGCAAAAAGTCTGAATTTCTTGTTCTTCTTTCTCTGCTTCTTTTTTTATTACAACCAACTTCCCTGAGGTGATATAGTTTCAAATGGAGTATCTACTTTTATAAGCATTATCAAATAGTAGTAATTAAGAAATATCATAATTCTAGTTTAAACAATGTTATCATTACCTCCTAGAATTAGCTTCCTTACTGAAACCTGATGTTCCTTTCACATGCTTAAGTACAAGGGAAACAGGAATTACCAGGGAATAATAGATAAACAATAAATATTACAGTTGGAACCTCATTGTGTTTAGTACTTCATTATAAATACAACCTTACTATGACTATCTTAACACTGTATTAAATAAACAAGTGAAGAAAAAAAACTTTCCAAAAAAAGGAAGTAAATGTAGGGATGGCTAATATCAAACGTTCAAAAACAATGCAAACAAGTTAGTAGGGATGGCATTTGCATCATCCCTATATAATAGTACAGGCAAAAATTAACACATAGCAATATAATGTGTGTACATATATATATATATATATAACTATTCAATCACAATTGAGTTTAATTTATCCTATTTTTGTCTGTTAACATTCTACTATACAGTGTGCCTATGCTGTTATGTAAGAATGGTGCAAATGCCATCCCTACTATCTTTGTTGAATTGTTTTTCAAGGATTGATATTAGCCATCCCTACATTTACCTTTCTTTTTTGAAAAGTTTTTTCTTTACTTGTATCTATTTCAGTCATTCCCTTCTCTCTTGTAAAGAAGAAATTTCAATACTTAGAATCAGGCCTAAAAGTTTTATTTATTTATTCTACCTAAACTTAACAGTTCATTGATAGATTACTTTATTCATTCAATTGCTTAGTCATATGCTTGTAGATTACTATTGTTATAGATTCTCACGTGATTCTTTTTTAGATTAAATTTCGTTAA